TATATATATATATCCGGAACTAATTAATTGTATGTCTGCGTTAGTTTGAAATTGGTTTTAAAACAGTTTGTAGTTTACGTAACATCGGCGCAGTGAAGACAAATGGAGAAAGGCCTCTTAGTTCAGATAAAATTGGAAAAAATATCAAGGCACTAAAGGGCAAACTTAGAAAAAATACGTCACAGCTTTACCACCATTTGTATTCAGGTGTAAATGAGGTGTCTGTTTCTGAGTTAACCTGGAAGGACCCTCTAGCTAACCAAGTAATTAGCGATGATTCAGAACTGGTGAAAAAATTACCAGAACGTTTGAAGGAGTCTTTTATGGTGAATTCTTCTTTTTTATTATACAGTCATATGCGAAGTGTCTGATTCAAAGAACCCCTCTGGCTAATAGCTGATATTTTTCAATCTCAATATCATTTAATTTATGCTATCATTAGAAACCAGTAGATGATATGGTTCCTTCATCACTTCCACAAATTATACGAGAAAAATGCGAAGAATTCGTGATTAGCTTTATTGAGAGTGATATGGACATTTTACCACAAAAACTTTCGCATAATGGGGAGTGGAAAGAATCAGATGAGGAGCTCGCAGAGGTCACATTAAGAATTTTGGGTTCTCTAAATGATTCATGGAATAATCCTGCATTTAGTTCTGAGTTCGCGAAATCACAAAATGAAGGTACTTATGTGACAAACGTAATTGTACCTGCTATTCGGGCCACATTAAAAGGTCTTCCTTTAGGGAAGTCATCTTATGTCAGCACGTGAGTTATAATATAATTAGTAAAAGTGATATTTAGAAAACTTAGACTGTAACTAATGTTGTTCTTCTATTAGTGCTGAACGCCAAAGTTCAGCTAGTGCAGATAGGAGAGGCGAAGGGCGAACAGGAAGACGGCCAGATATCATGTTTGTGATGAAGCATGATAGAAAAAAATACGAGCTTATATATGTTGAAAGTTCCCGCCTGTCTTGCACATCACAGAAGGAAATAGATGATGAAATAAAATTATGGCGTGAGGCTAATGATGGGATGTACTGGGTTCATAAATCATCTGGGCCAGATAAGGGTGAATTCGGAATTATTGGAATGCAAGTTGCCGGACGAATAATGCGCTTAAATGTTCTCATTAGAGATATGGAAAATATCCATCGTTATTATCATCTTTACGAAGCAGAAATTCCTGTACA